GCCTTTGTATGCAGAACAACCGCAGTAGACACATGCTTTCATCCCCTGAAGCGAAGCAACAAGGGGTCAGAACGACAACCTCTCTCATATATAATTTAAAATCGTGGTAAAAAGCAGGTGTGAGGGGAAATTTAAATGAGGTCTAAACTTAAAGCCTGGAGCCACTTGAAATGGCTCAGGTTTGAAAACCAGGCAAAGCTACACTAAAGAGGAGACGCGTTACTGTCAAGGTCTTTTTACTTAGAGCACTGCGCCTGCGTTGTCTCATGTAGAGTCTAAAGTCTAGCTGTTTGTATGAGGGTGTTATTGCAGGGTCATTGTTAACCCTTAACCAGGCTGATAAAGGAATTATTGGTCATCATATTACGTTTTATTTTAGCTTTGCTGCTATGCAAACTCCACTAATCTAAGCATTTATATAATAAGCTCTTTATTTATAGATGTTTCACAGAGGCAACAAAATACAGTCATAAATCCTGAGGTTAGATATCCACGATTGTCCCCTTGAACTTCTTACTTCGGTTATCCATTAAAAGATTGCTTCAGAATGCCATTCAAGTGGAAACTGACAAGACAAACACTGGAATTGTGTTTTAACACTGAACAACATCTGAGTTAAGTTGATATCGATAAGCGTCAGGTCTTTGGTCTGCTGCAGGAAAACACAAAGAGGATTTAAACTTAAGTGAATGAAACCTCATAAAGCTCATTTTTACTAATGATTACTCACCACAGTACGAAGGCTCTTCTCCTGTATTGCTGTAAGAGCAGGAGGAGTTATTACAGCCAACAAAGCTGTTTTTCAGTGTTTATATGGAAGCAACTTTAAATACTGTCAACTGTAATGACGTAAGGTTTATATTCACCCATCGGCCACGACATTAAAGAAACACCACCTACTATTGTCCCAACATAATAGCATCAACACAGGATCTCTGGGAGTGTCCTTTGGTTTTAGTGTGGAGTGAAATGGAAAGTAAATCCAAGTGTGGAGGAAAGAAATGAAACTATAAAAAATAATAAATAAAAGCACTCTGCACGCACAGGCTTGATTGTAGCTGTAGCATTATGCCAGCGTAACCAGCAGCCATTTTTAACAGACGTTTTCGAACACTGAACTTTGAGCTGCTCAGACTCCAGAGCAGCATTTGAAAGTAAATAGCTAAGTCCTTTTTCAGGATCAGACACAAAGCAGGGATTTTCCACGGAGGAGTTTGCCCCACCTGTCTGAACGATGTGTGTGAAGGTGTGGCAGACACTGAAGAAGCGCTCAGACGTCTTTTTTCTTCTGCGGTC